GGTTTATCCCTATCACCTAAAGAGAGATCTTATCCAAATATGATTTGGATAAGYAGCTCCTAATTGGATTAGGAGCTGATCTTTTAGGTTAACAAAAGAAAAGGGGGCGGCAGCCTAAGTAATACACAGATCTGATTCTCTTCAAAGCTAAGAAAAATCACAGAAAGAGAGATTTCTGCACCCTGTGAATTCTCTCCTGCCGCCGCCATTGCCTTTAGTTCGATCTCTAGTTCTTGGGAGAAATCAAGATCTGATCTTGATTCCAATCTTTTGGGGAAAAGATTGGTTGGAGCTGTACTCACAAACCATCCAGTTGATTCTTGCGAAGGGTCAAGTTCTTTTGGAAGAACATTGTTGATTCTGCTCCATCCTGCACTACGCCATTTTCAGTGGGAGCAGATTTTGGATCCTTCCTTGGGCGTGAACACCTCCATTGGGAGATATTGATTCTCTGTATCAGGTATATCCTCCCTCCTGCTTCTTTTGGTTCAAATCTGATTTGGTTCTTGATTCAAGGTTGATCCTTGAAAACATGTTTTCTGAAATAGGGAATTCGATTCCCTGCAAAGATGGGAGAAATTTTTGAAATTCGCCCTATTCTTTCCGCAAGATTTGGGCGTCCATGAGATGGATATCCCATCCCTTCAAGAACAATAAAGACATAGGTACAAGTAGTAAGAAATGATTTAAGCACTAATAATTTAACAATGAATAATGGCTAATATAGAACGGATTGGCAAAAGAGGAATCATGTAGCCAACCCCATATAGTTGGGATAAGGCATGGATGATGATGATGACGATGATGAAGAAGTAAACACTGCTACATATCTTTATTAAAGGATAACTTTCAAGGAACTATTTTATCAATCTCCTCATTAAGTCCTTTTTTTTTTCAATTCAGCCATTGTTCTCTTACCACATTTTGTCTTTGGGTGTGTTTTGTTCATTACTTGGGCACAAACATATCAAAATTTGATCCTATGTTTATTAGGGGTTGGGCTATTTTCTCAATCAGAAGAAGTATAGGTAATAGGTGTTTCAATGTTGTATCTAATAAGAACTAGGAAGTATGTAACAAGAGAGAGTTCCAATGACGAGGAAAGTTCTTTCTTTCTTCTTGTTATGCATGTTCCTAAGCATTCCTCTTCTTCTCCTAACTTAGCAATGGTTGTGCTAGAGAAAAACAGGAAAAGAATTGCATATTACTCGGTAGAAAATAGTGACTCCTCAAGTGGTTCCTTCTACTGGTGACCTTGGTATTGTTACCCTTAATTAAAATTACCATTTTACCCTCTCTTGATGATCAAACTTACCAACCATAGAACTAAAACTTTCAACAGGCCATGACTGAAAAATCAGCGAAAAAGGGAGCCTTGTTCTTACAACAAGCTTCTTCCATTAGGATCTAATCATGTGAATATTTGCATAACTTTTACAGATGGGTTCTTATTATAGATGAAGACAACCCTAAGAATGTTTTTGTCTAACTTTCACATCTATCATGTATATTGACCTATTTTCTAGTATCTCTTCTCCAAAAAATATTAAAAATAGGGAGGAAAATTTTGATTGGATAATTCCAAGAGTCCAACTATGGTGCATTTCGAAATTTTTACAGCATGTTACATCAAAATTTCAACCAATCACAATAAAGATGTCACATGGTCTACATACATTTCATTGGTTCACATTTCACAATGCGTATGCACCATAGATTTTGCCTAATTCCTAACATCCAATGCATAAGTTCTTTTCAATGCACTTTTTTCAAATGTTTAGTACTTCCCCTCAGATCACCCAAAGAATTTTTGGCTCTAAAGTCTTCCACATGTTACACCTATTTGAGAGAGAGAGAGAGAGAGAGAGAGAGAGAGAGAGAGACAGAGAGAATCACTAGTGGACAGACATGTGACTCCCTTGACCTCGTTGGAGACAGCCAGTTGTCTTTAGCAAAGCATCCCTATCTAACATTATATTCAATAATAAATTCTTAGAAGACAATAAGTAATTCATAGTTTTCAAGGTGCCAAGGCAAGGCGACAGGGGGCGCCTTGTCGCCTAGTCGCCTAGGCGATGGATTTTTTTATGTTAAAAACATAGATCCTAGGGTAATTCCCTAGGTACCATAACCATATTTCCTTAATAATATTTCAGAATTTTCATAAGAAAAGTATAAAGTTCATATTAAAGTATACAAAATCAACATATTCATGAGAAGAAAGGAAGAAGGAAAATAAAATCCAGCAAACGTAGGGGCTGAATCCTTATTTTTGTTATAGGAAAAGAAGAAAAGAAAAAGTATTGATAGTAGTAGTAGTAGTAGAAGAAGAAGAAGAAGAATATATGGAAGAAGAAAATGTGCTGATTAGATAAAATTTTAAGTTCTTCCTTACTTATTGGTTCAGGTTTTGAAGTCTTTGAGGGTTCATACAGCATTCAGTAATGTTTGTATTGATTAAACCCTAATAAATAAGAAAATAATAAAAAGAAATTAGTATATAAACACTCAAAATGATTATTTTAGTTTAATAATGTCTATCTATTTTATAATATAATCTCAAAAAAGAATGGACAAAAAAGTATTTTATAATAGAAAGTAAAAAATTGCTTGGTGATTAGGCAAGGTGAGCCTCAAAGGGGACCTTGTCGCCTAGGCGTCGCCTTGACAACTATGATGTAATTTGCCTAGACTTTAACCAAAATGGGTATCTCACAAATTCTGTCCTCAGTTCAGAGGTATAATGTTGCATGAGATATCAATCGATGTATCAGAAGAGTAGGACCAAGAGGAACATACACAAAATGGTTGAGCTTCCTTCCATAATCCAAGAAAATCAATCTCCTGAGAAATATTTGTCAACAGGCCAAGCCGACAAAGTCCAGAGTTGCAGAACTTCTCAAAAAGGGAATATCTGTCTAATGACCAAATCCCTTCACATCCAGAACTGTAGCTGGAAGAAATTTGAAGAGATAAGCCACCTCTGTCCAAAGTTGAACATGTATCGCCTTCTGCAACACATTTTTTAGAGGTAAGAAACAGAGAATTCACATAAATTGGATCTTTCTAACATGTAGAATTCAGCAAGTCCCATCAAATAGTTTAGCAATTATGATCAACCTACCTATGTTCACAAGATTAGGGAGTGTTCGACAACATGGTTGGTTTTGTTTTTGAAACAAAAACAACTTCCACATCAGCAAAACTGTATTGTTTTTGTTTTCAAAATAAAAACCAATGATGTTGTCAAACACCCCGTAGGATGATAAATTCACTTAAGATCCCAGAGTTGGGATGCATCAGATGGTGGATCTGAATCCCTTGCATGTGCAGTATGTTTGAATTGCCATTGGTAGACTATATTTATGGTACATCCAGCATGCCTTAAGTCTTAATTTTCAAGATATAAGACCCAAAATAATTTGATAGGATTTGGCTAGTAGAACAGTCACCCTAATATTCACATAGGATGATCTAATAGTATTCTCAATCTTAGCAACAAGAATAGGCTCCTGAAAGAGAAAAAAAAAAGTTATTTTAAACACACTATTGCTTCACATGTTTCAATAGGACCATCTCATGAGAGTAAGCACCATGTTAAATTCGAAGAATTTAACTCTAGTACAAGCAATTAAACCTCTTAGCACCACTTCACTTGTATGACCTTGATAAGCTTCAGAATAGTTACTGGTTGTGCAGCTTCTTTCCATTTCACACTTTTCCCAGGTTGCAACTAAGGGAAGGCTGGTTCTTTTGTCCACATGCAAATTATTCTGTAAAACCCTCCTTTGCTGTTGACGACGTAAAGCCTTCCCCTGCCGCCCTATGGAAGGACTTGTTGTTAAGATTTCTGGATAGTACCTATTAAGAACCTTGAAGGGAGATTTACAAAAACAATATGTTATTGATTAAAAGCAAAGTATTTGATCACCATCAACTATGCTAAGAAAATTTTGAACCACGGATTTTATATTGTGGATAACAGAAAACATAACTAAAGAACAAGGAAACAGCAAGACAACAAGATAAGCAAACCAAGTGAAAGGAAAACAGAACTAATCAGGCATAAATAAAATACAATCTAAACTAGTAAACCTGAACCCTCTAGAAATCTCTCCTCAGTTCCTCCTAACCAAGCTATCAGCCATTAAGATTGCAGACCCCAGGATCATTCTGAACAAACCATTCACTCTGAAAGCTGGTGCCTTCATCTCTCATGTGAGGACACAATTACCAATTAACCATGGGCCTTGAGAACCATCAGTAATCAAAAAAGAGAAAAACAAAAAAGAACCATCAGTAATCAATCCAATCATCACCCAGGAGTTACCATCTATATCCCTATTCTAAGACCTTTTGAGAATGTTGTGAAATACTTTAAGATAAAAGGAGAAAAAGGTAGATATAATGAATTAGGAGAAGAAGAAAAGAAGAGAAAAAGAAGAGAGAAGAGATTGAGGTAGAAAAAAGTGAGGTTATATGACTCGTTCATTTACTAGCATAATTATGATGGAAATTATATAAATAATCATGAATAGGTAGAAGGTTAAGGAGAGTATTATAGATTCGATCTGCAATAGTTTCAGACGGAGAATGAGAAAGAAAGAGAATAGAGAACAGAGAGGGAGAAGAGAAGAGGAGTTGGGAGAGAAAACCCTTGGCTCGAACTAGAGAGAAAAATCACTTTCTCTAGTGGGTTGTATTTATATAATTCTACTGTGTTACAAAGACAGTTATGCCCCTAATTAAGTATGGGACATAACACTTAAAGTAAAATACAAAAGGCATTACACTACTCACTTGAAGTAAGAGAAGATGACCAAACTACCCTTTTAACAACCGACTCTAACAATCCCCCTCAAGCTGGTGAGTATATGTCATAGAGTCCCAGGTCGTTACGATGTAACCCACTCTTCCCCGACTCAACCCTTTGGTGGACAAATCTGCCCATTGACTTCCTGTGTTCACATATGCAGTACTTTTTACTCCACTAAGCACCTTTTTCTCTCACAAAGTGACAATTAACTTCTATATATTTTGTTCTCTTATAGAAGACTAGATTAGAGGAAATGTGGAATGTAGCTTGGTTGTCACAATACAATTTCATAGGGCTATCAATTGAGTATCCCATCTCTTGTAAAAGGTTCTTCAACCATACTAGTTCACATGTAGTGTGTGCCATGGCTTTATATTCAGCTTCAACATTGCTTCTTGCCCCACTGTCTGCTTCTTGCTCTTCCATGTCACCAAATTCCCTTTAAGAAAGGTAAAATACCATGTAGTGGACCTCCTATCAGATATTGAACTGGCCCAATCAGCATTTGTGTAGCCTTCTATCTCAAGTCTTCCTCTAGTCTTGTATAACAAGCCACTGGAGCACCCTTCAAATATCATACAATTCTATGGGAGGGACCCTGGTGCCTGGGAGGAGATTTTAATGTCATAAGATTTTTGAGTGAATCAAACAACCCAAATCATAGGATAACAACGAGTATGAGGAAGTTTAACCTCTTCATAGAGAGCTTTGAGTTGCGGGATTTACCTATTCAGAGGGCAAATTATACTTGGTCAAATTTTCAAGAGGTTCCCACTTGTTGTAAGTTAGACAGATTCCTTTTCACAACTAACTGGGAAGTGGCTTGGCAGGGCTTAGTAGTTACAGCTTTACCAAGACCTGTTTCAAACCACTGCCCAATAAGTTTGACCCAAGAGAGATTGGGGGGTGGCCCTTGCCCTTTTAGGTTTGAGAATATGTGGCTTCTACACCCTGAATTCTTGCCAAAGGTGAAGGAGTGGTGAGAAGAAGATCAATTGGATTTCAGATGGAAGGGCTATAGATTCTATAAGAAATTGCAATTGTTGAAAGAAAGAATTAAGCTGTGGAATAAAGAGAGTTTGGAAAGATTGAAGAAAGAAAACAGGAAATTCTAGGCAAAATAGAGGAGCTAGATGGTGAAGAAGCTGAGAGAAGGAGATGGCAAAAATCTAGATGTCAATGGCTCAGGGAAGGGGATGGCAATACCAGTTTTTTTCATATGTTGGCAAATGGGAGAAAGAGGAAAAATTTAATGTTGAAATTGGAATGGAATGGGCAAGTATTGACGAGAGACGAGGACATAGCCCAAGCCTTTGTGAATCATTTCAAAACTCTCTATGAGAGTCCAAGGAGGTCTGGAGAAAACTTAGAGGACCTGGATTGGAGGGTTGGGAACAGAGAGCTGTTGGACTCCTTGGAAAGGATATTTGAGGTTCAGGAAGTCAAAAATGTAGTTTTCTCGATGAAGAGATTTAAAGCCCTAGGACCTGATGGTTTTACAATGGCTTTCTATCAAGATTGTTGGGAAATAATTGAGGGTGACTTGATGGAGGTGTTTGATAAGTTCCATGAGAGGGGCAAATTTAACTCAGGTGCAAATGCAACCTTCATCACTTTGATACCAAAGAAAGTGGATGCACTTCAACCGAAGGATTTTGGGCCCATAAGTCTGATAGGTAGCATGTACAAAATCATTTCAAAGGTTTTAGCCCTAAGAATAAAATATGTTCTTCCCTCGATGATTTCTCCAAATCAAGGGGCTTTTGTGTTTGGGAGACAAATAATTGATTAAATCCTTATTGCCAATGAATGTGTAGAGGTTAGAAGAAGGAAAAAACAAAAAGGACTGGTGTGCAAATTGGATTTAGAGAAAGCCTATGACATGGTGGATTGGGAGTTTCTGCTGAAGATTCTTAAGCGTAGGGGTTTCGGAGAGAGATGGTGTAAATGGGTGAAGGGCTGCATTACTTCATGTCATTTTTCAATTCTGGTAAATAGAGCAGCAAGAGATTTTTTTCCTGCCAAAAGGGGCCTAAGACAAGGAGATCCTCTATCTCCCTTCCTATTTACTCGGGTAACTGATGTGTTGAGTGAGTTGATCTTAAGGGAAGATGCCAACAATATGATTAGAGGCTAGAGAGTTGGAAGGGATGAAGTGGTGGTTACACATTTACAATTTGCACATTATTATGTTTTGTGAAGGGAAAACTGAAGAACTCATGAACCTAAAAAGGATAGTCCATAAATTTGAGAGGATCTCTAACCTAAAGATCAATTGAGGCAAGAGTTATGTGGCAGGAGAAAACTTAGGGAGTGAAGAGGTGATTCGATTAGCTGGAATATTGGGGTGTGAGGTAGGAGATTGGCCATTACAATATTTGCGAATTGGAAGAGAAGTTACATTTCTTTGGGAGGTAGGATAACCCTGATAAAGTCAATGTTGGCTAACTTACTAGTGTATTTCCTATCTATCTTTAGGATACCAGTGAAAGTAGCAAACCAGTTAGAGAAGATCATGAGTGACTTCCTTTGGGAACCAAGAGACACCAAAAGAGACCACCTAGTGAAGTGGGAGGTGGTTTCTAGCAGTAGAGATGAAGAGGGACTAGGAATAGGAAATCACAGGCTAAGAAATACAGCATTATTGGGGAAATGGTTGTGGAGATTGCCTTTGGAACAGGATAGACTTTGGCATAGAGTGATTATTAGCATTCATGGATTGGCAGACAATGGTTGGGATGCAGGAGTCGACCCAGGGGCTTCCCGATGCTCTCCCTGGAAAGCTATTCATGGTGGACACCTCCCCCAGATGTAGCAAGCCTTTTTGACCCAAGCTTTTTCAGGCAACTGAAGAGGCGTGGAAGATTAATGTGGAGATCCACAAGAGTAGCTATCTTATGGTCAGTCTAGGAAGAAAGGAATAATAGAATCTTTAAAGAAGTGGAGAAGTCCAAGGAGGCAATTGTAGAAAGGATAATTATTATGACTATTCATTGGTTGAAAACTTTGGATTTGTTTAAAGACTTCTCAGCTGAAGACATTTATAGGAATTGGGAAGTGGTGGCTTCTACAACTTCCATGAAACCTATTGTGCAGGAATTATGGTCCCCACCAACACAACAAAGAGTGAAATTGAATTTTGATGGGAGTT